AGGACTTGTGACCATGAGGGCAATCCTTGGGATTTTGCGTGATCAGACAGGCGAGCAGCCGCCCATTTGTTGGTTGATGATTTACAGCCAGAACTTCTACTGGGTTGTCTGCCGTGTGGGCCATTCAGTAGTTTGCAGGGCTTGAATCAGAGATTTGTAGATACATGGGACAACGTGCAGAAGCTGGCAGAGGCAAGAGAGCATCTAGCATTTTGCTGTGAGCTCTACCGGAAACATATAATGAAGACCCGTTGAAAGAGCTTGAAGAGCTTGACACAGTTTACAAGGTTCGTGCAGACATGTGTCAGTTTGGTATGCAAGGCGGAGGATGAGCATGGGATTGGAGCTGTGAAGAAACCATCCGGCTTCATGACGAATTCAGAATGTAATGCAGAGCAGTTGAATGTTCTTTGCAAGAATGTTAAAAATGAACTCAAAGTTTGGAAGAGGTTTGATTTCAATGCAACCGAATTGCAATTGTTGAAGAAAGGGGGACCTGCGTGGAAACAAGTTGTGAGAAGGGTGACGATGGATATCAATACAAATGAGGTGCTTCAAGATCTTCAGGGCTTTCAGCAAGCCACTCGTTCACAGTTGCATCAGAAGTTGCCGGGACAGCCAAGAGACATTGCTACAATTTTCTACTACAAGGAGGACAACAGTCAGTGGCATCGGCGTGCGCAACTCATTGGTGGCAAGGCAAAACAGGCTGAGATCTATCCGGACGGTCTTTTGCAGCGAGTCTTGAAAGGGTTGAAGCAACAGACGCAGAAGAAGTCGCCACTCAGTTCATTGGAGTTTGGACCTGTGAACGAAGAACCATATTTTGAACAGGCAGTGTTGGTTCAAGAAGACTGGACCACATTCATTGAAGTTTCGGGCAAAGCACTTGAAACTAGCAAGGTGATGGCAGCTCACGCAGGAGAGATTGACTATGCCATTCGCTACAATGTCTGGACATTGGTACCAACACAAGAGGCATGGGATGTGACTGGGGCTGGACCCGTCGGATCCCGTTGGATTGACATAAACAAAGGTGACACTGAACGTCCAAACTACAGGAGCAGGTTGGTCATTCAAGAGGTGAGACATAGTGGCGTTGGAGCAATTTTTGCAGCTACACCACCCTTGGGGTCGATCAGAGTTTCGTTGTCACTTCAGCGTTCAGGGAAACAAGGCTACAAAGTGATGTTCACAGACATCCGCAGGGCACATTGGACAGCCAAGATTGAGAGAACTGTCTATGTTCGACTTCCACCCGAAGCCGCAGAAGAAGGCTACTGTGGCCGTTTGAACAAGGCCATGTACGGGTGATGCAGCTAGACAATGGGAGATTGGGATTACAGACCTCTTTACAAGTCACCCCAGTTCGGAAGCCCAGTGTTGTATTGTCACAGTGTTCGTGACATCAAGATTTCGGTTCACGGGGGTGACATTACTTCATTGGGTCGCAAAGATGACCTTCTTTGCTTGAAGAGCAATTGTTGACAAGGTATGAAATCAAAGATGGTGGCATGTCGGGGCCTGATGAGGGAGATGCGCAGGATGCAATGATCTTGAACCGACTTGTGCACTAACTATGGTCCGCGTGAGACAACAATAGAGGCCGACCCCAGGCATGTGCAGATTTTGGTCAAGGAGTTGAACTTGACTGATTCGAAGAGCGCCCCTACTGCAGGCGTGAAGAGAACTGAACAAAAAGATGAAGTGCTGACTCCAGAAGAAAGCAGCAGGTTCAGAAGCTTGACTATGAGGGTTGGTTATCTTGCATTGGATCGACCAGATATTGCTTTTGCGTGCAAGGAGCTTGCACGGGCCATGGCAAAACCTTGTCGGTCAGATTGGAATGGTTTGAAACGGTTGGTGAGATATTTGCATGGTGTTCCACGGTTGATTGGGAAGTACCCTGAACAGTTGCTACAGGAGGACTTCACCATGTACACTGACAGTGATGACGCCGGTTGCACGAAGACACGGAAGTCAACATCGTGTGGAGCCTTGTTGCACGGTTCACATCTTCTCAAGTTTTACAGCAGTACACAGCACGTTGTGTCGTTGAGCAGTGGAGAGTCAGAGTTCTATGCAGGCGTGAAAGCACGTTCAACATTGTTCAAGGCGATGTCAATGGCTCTTGCTACGGCTGCGAAGGCCATGTTGAGTCGGAAAGGGCATGGCAGAGCAAAGCACATTGGCACGTCGTTTTTATGGTTGCAACAGCGTGCGCAGAACAAAGAGCTTGAGTTGTCAAAGGTTGGGACGAGAAAGAACATAGCCGACCTTGGAACCAAGCACCTAGATCAAGCCCAAGTGCAAGCTTTGATTTTGGAGGTGAATTTAGAATGCGTACAGAGTGAGCACAAGATGACCCTCCATGTTTAGATGAATCCTTCGACAGGTTTCAGGAGGGCATGTGGCAACACGAAACCTTTCCTGCTCTCGGAAAACAAGCCCCTGCGCACCTTGCATAGCGCTTTTCATTCTGAGTTAACTTCTATCAGAGGTTTGTTTAGCCCAGGCCTACAAAGGTTTAGAGAGAAGACCAAAACACCAAAAAAACAGCCAACGATTCTTGAGACAAAGTGAGGTTATCAAAGGGTTTGTTTGTTTTTTGTTTCGCACTCGTTTTGAATCAAGCATTTTTTGGACTTGTATTTTGTGTTTTGTTCTAATATTGCTAATATTACACTTAGTCAACATGTAGCACATCAGACACTCGCGCTAAGTTGAAAAGTTCGTTTCCAATAAGTCTCTTTTCTGTCACGGCTGCATAGTTTTAAGGCGCGTCTTATTTAGGTGGAGCAGGTCAAGAAATGAGGCTGAACTACTTTGCTGACGCTGGCGCCAGGATTGTTAACACAGCAGGTTTTGTTGCCAAAGGAAGACAAAAGGGCGCAAATGAACGCACTGTTGATGTTAAATGGGTGGCAATGTCACTTCTACAGGTATTATCACTATACTAAGCCGCTCGTCAACACGGGGCTCACTCAATCAAAGGTCATAACGATCTTCGGAACACATGCGAGACTTGGCGTGGGAACAGATGCCACAACACATGCCAGAACACCTTTTGCCCGCATGCCCAGAGCAAATGTTAGGTGTTTACTCAGCACAGTTGCAGCTTGGATTGCAGAGCATTTGTCAGAAAACACACCAGAACAAATGCCAGTTTTCATACATTGTTATTTGTTCTTCAATTGTTCTTTTTTTGGCAGGCAGCAATAACTTCTGTAGCGTGGACTTCTCCGATGTTGGGGAATAGGGGAACCAACAGCAGCACTCCAAAAAAGACAATTGCGCCAAAAGGGCCAAAATGGTCCAATTTTGCTTGAACATTTCATTGTTGCGCTTACGGAAGGTCCAAATTTGCATGCAAAGCCATGAAGCGGCAATTTTTGGAAAGGGACTGAAACGACATCAAGCGTCAGACAGTAGTTGAGTTTCACTGAGCGAACAGTTGGTGTCCTGGGTATGTCGGAACACGCAAGGCTTGACGTCAAAGCATATGTGAGAACACGCGCCAGGCCGAACGCCACTAAACATATCAGACCATTGGTCAGAGCAGGCAGCAATGGGGCACATGGCATTGGAAATTTGTCTTGGGGGGCTTGGCAGCCTCAGGTGAAGCTTGTACTTTCGCACACTCCACCTGCGACCTCCAAGAGCAGCCGGACCTGGCCTAGAACTGAGAAGCAGAAACGGTTTCGCGAAAAACGTTCAGAAATGGGCGGCGATAGGGAGTCGAAACTGGAACCAGAAAACCCAAGAAAAACACCTGTTAGCAACAAAAATCGAGTGTTGTGGCAAGATTTTGCAACGCATCTAGAGCGCTCAGGCTGAGGAGCTGTACGAAGATCAAAGAGCGGGTGGGCTAATATGTCCATATATAATTAGTGGCGAGGAATGCGGCATTTGTTTGAGTGCCTCATTTTTGTCTCTAAAATAACGTCGGTCATGTGGTCTTCCTTGAAGACTGCATCGTTGTTTGTGTGATTTCACGTTGTGTTTCACAGAAACCCAGCATCAGGTCAAGACTGAACTATGCTTCCAGTTCATGTCCAAGGCACGGCTAAAGTGGCATGTCATGCGAATTCTAACCTTGGTAGTTCTTGGAGGCCTTAAATTGTTTTTCCTTGTTTTTTAGACACTCTGAACCAGAGGGTTGTCATTATCTTCGTGTGCGGTGTGTGTTGTTTTTGCCTCGGTCGGAGTATTCTGCTGGATTCACAATGCACCTCGCCCCCAACCTATCATTCATTCCCCTAGTCTCATGGGATCAGACGCCAACAGAAAGCATACCTTGGTTATGATGAGTGCATCACCGCCTCAAAAAATGTCACAGGCGAGGATCTGCCAGAGTACACCTTCAAGCATGCCCTCGTCCCTCGTACCCAGAACCATTTCCCACACCCGGCACCAGTGGTCAGCATTCAGATCTCGCCTTGAGGGCCGATGCAAACGTGGAGCTGACTGCACTTTTGCGCATGGCAAGAAGGAGCTCCGCAAGCCTCGCAAGGAGATGCCGAAAGGCACTGCCGTGGCGGCCAAGATGAGCGCAGAGGCGCAGGAATGCCTTTCAGAGATGGAGGTGAAGCCACCAGAGACTCGGAGGGAAGACGGAAGAATCGGAGGGAAGATGACTCGCAGGGGAATGCGCTGTTTGAAGAACTGGATTCTGAGCCCTGTTGTGATGTTGAGGAACCAGGCAACGCAGCTGTCTCAAGCAAGACAGATTTGGAAACACTATAATGTCGACGTAGGATTAATCAACCGGTCCCCCCCTTCAAGGTCAACAAGGTTTGAGATTTGAGGTATTGAGGAGGACATCCCCCTAATAAAGGTGATGACCTGATGATGGATGATGAGATGAGGATTTGGACCTGATGATGGATGATGGTTGATGGGATTCTGTGTCATGAGAGATTGAACCATGAGAGCCATGAGTCCTCTGAGTGTATTGGCACAAGTTTGATAAGAGATCAGATAGGATTGATCAGAGAGCCATGCCAATTGGTGATGCTCTCTTTGATTGGGAAGAAGAGGATTGCAGGATGAAAGCATTGGAAGACAAGAATGAGGCCAGAGGGTGGGATTGATTAATAGGGGGAGGGGGTCCTACTATTGGGGGTACCCTTTGTGAGCTTGAAAAAGTTAAGACTTTGAGATAGAGTTTTAATAAGGGAAAGTGAAAGACTTTTGCTAGAGAGTTTTTTGGGTTTTGGGGGGTGGTTGGTAGCATGAGACTTGAGGAGAAGCCATCAAAAGGATTTGGTGAGCAGGATGTGGCAGTTGAGAGGTGGTGGTGGGAATCAGGAAGATGAGGAGATGAAGATATTGAATACTAACAAAAAAGAACATCATAAAGAATTACCAATTCAATAGTAAACTATATTTTTTCTGGGGGAGCTGGGATTGATTAATAGGGGGAGGGGAGGTTTCTGCACAGGAAAAAGATATTAGGGTGATGCCAAGGTGGCAATCTAGGTTTTAAATTAGTTTAGTATTGGGGGGCGTCGAGCTGGGATTGATTAATAGGGGGTGGTTACTTCATCCTATGTCAACATTATATATACAACCAAAAACCAGAAGAACACTAGCGCGGAGTGAGCTCTGTCACTCAGCGCAGTTCCAGTCGCCTTGTTGCTTACGCTGATTCCGGCTGACTGACAGCAACCTGCTTTATCGACATGTTTTTTCGTTTGAGCCATGTTTCTTCAAATTGGTCTTTGGAAAACAGGTCATAACTCAATCAGGATTTGCTGCTTGACTTTGGAGCTCCAGTCCAAGAGCGTCCAAGAGCATTAACTTGCTGATTCAAGAAGCGGTGCACTTCTAGATGTCCTCATTCTAAGTTTGCTGACATCAGATCCTGAGGTAGCTCCACTCTCGGATATCTTCGAGCTCCACCAGCGGATCGAGCACGCGGAATCCGCGCTTAAGGCCTAGACCCGGCACCACGCGAGGTTTCGATCTGTCAACCTTCACGGGCCATGCTGGTAGGTTTGTTTTTGGATTATTTGTTGATCTTGATTGGCTGGGTGATGTCTTTTATTCAAAGCAGCAGAAGCAGTCACAAGAAACACAAGAACAATGTTTCATACCTGAACTCTTCCACCACCAATTGTGGCTGTGGCTAAGCACCATTGAGGTAGTGTTTTGGGTCAATTCTTGAAAAAGAATGCACTGGCAGCTACAAACGAGGCAAGGGATGGGCATTCCATCATGTTACATTTTTTTGAGAAGTCAATGTTTGTAGTGCGCCCCAAGAGAGTCTTGGCCAAGTATGTTAGATCAGTCGAGATGGCATCGATCATGGGCCGTTGTCAGGGTGTGAATGCCATGGTGATGCACATCAACATGATGTCGCACAACGTCCCCAACACCTTCCATCCACCTCCCGGGTTGCCACCGCCGGAATGCTTGAAGGCGCGGTTTTTGCAGAGGTAAAGACACACTGGGTTGTCTACCTGACGGAACAAGAAAGCAGAAGCTGTTAAAGTCAATGTGATTTGTTTTTTCTCTACCTCAGATGGTGTAAGTAGTTCCTAGGCATATAGGAACAAGAAAGCTACTAGGGGCTCCTGGCATCGCTACTAGGAGCAAGTACGCTACTAGGGGCTCCTGGCCATACTACTAGGAGCAAGAAGCTACTAGTGCACCTCCCAAGTTCGGAAAAAGGACGAAGTGAAGGTTCCCCATGGACTTGTCTCATCGCTTGTTTCGCACTGGCCTGGAATGCAAATCGAATTGGGGCATGATTGGATTTGATTTGTTGTTTTAAACCAGGGGGGGTAGGTGGTAGAGGTACTGGAAATGTAGCTAGTAGAAGCTAGGTAGCTCGTACCTTACTTAAGCTACTATTATGGACTGGGTAGCTCACACTTCTTCAAGGAAGCTCCCCCCCGCCTGAGGGCGTGGGGAAGAACTTTCTTGAAGAAGCGCTCGCACTATTCATTTGGTTCCTAATGTGGTCCTTTGATTAATAAATGCACCCAGAATAATATCAGCAAATTTCCCTGCACTGATTAATAAAGGTCCCTAGAAGGGTGTTTCTTTTCCATGTTGGAGTGATGATTTTTGTGTTCATCAATTGATTGGTGTTCTATCATATTATTCTAGGATTTCCAATGGTTGGAGGGGGGGTTGATGATCAAGAGTCAACAATAGATTCTTAAGGAAACTTAACAAATGATATGTGTTCAGCTGGGGAGTGGCTTAATGGTTAAATGGATGCAACTGCTATGGGTTGTTGATGTTTGAGTCGAAATTCACCTCATGTTGCAGGCAACATTTGCGCGGATCCTTGCTTTCTTTTGGAGTGATTTACGTCCCCAGAGCATTGTCAAACATCGTTAAACCCTGAAAAGGTGCCAGGCACGCCGTAAACATGTACAGAGTCTCCACGATTCCAGTATTGCTGTGCACCATGCTTAGCTGAGCTACACGTTTTCAATGGTAGCATTGAATTGATATAAGAGCCTATGTCTCGTTTGGAACTGTCCATGGTGACCCGTTTGGCCAAACCACATGGATGACTGCCATTCACCTTCTCTCACAAGCCAGGAGGACGATGCTGATACTGCCAGCACGACAGCCAGCACACAGCTGCTTGGTCGGATATATCTTTCGAAACTGCTTTAGCGTTTCTTCAACATCTAACTTCCTGCCATTGAGCAATATCCTGCACCA